CAACCGACAACACTTTCTATGAGTGGCATGTTTGTCTTTTTAGCTGCATCGCTGTAAACAGAGCCATGCAAGAGCACAAACCGTACAGGCTGAAAACCTTCAAAATGAGTTTTTTTTTATGATGACCTTAAGTGTATGCCGTTTATCATGTTTTTACTCTGAGTCATCTATGAGTTTCTCCCCCTCAGCAACCAACCTACCTGTAGATTAAAACCAGTGAGACACTGTTTTTAAAAAGCCTGCATCATCTTTCTGCTGTTTCTTGCACAGAACTAAAAAAAAGAGGAACACATGATGCAAGCACTTCAAAACAGACAACTCAGTCTTATTAAGCCTAACGCAGAGTTTGGTACAAACCTAGGGCTGGTTGATGTTGAGGTTGAACCGGTGCAATATCAAACTCACTGACTAATCATCTTGATCTGCGTTGGTTTAGTGACACCAGAATGGACAATTTTCCCGCGAACACCTGCTTATCTCAGCAGCCCGAGTTTCAATGTTTGCATTAAAGCAGTCTATTAGTTACTGGTTCACATCAGACTGAGGGATCTCTTCTTCAAACATACTTTTATCAGAGAGTTTTCCCTCTTTTCCCTCGAGTTTACGGACCCTTTTATTGTTACTAAAGCTTGGCGTACACTGTACGATTTTGCACAGTTAGTGGCGCAACGTGAGCTAACACTGTAAGAATCTTTTACGACCGCTACCACCACAGCTCACGATGTAGGTGCTCATACTGTACAACCCGATTGTAGGGCACGACCTGAGATCTCACGCTGTACGAGGGGAGAGATTCACAGATGCAATGCTCAAATACACACACCGGCAAAAACACTCACACGCTCAGCATCATCGATAAACACAAGCTAACAATAGCATCAAGAAATCACAACAAATACGCCCTGTGAGCTGGAGGTCTGCAGATATTTCCTGCCAACGTTTCTTTCTTTTAGGAGGGAGAAGACAGATTTAAACAGCTCGGATGTACGTCGCTTTGGATAAAAGTGTCTGCTCAGTGAATTGTAAGAAAAGGCATGCCTGCTGTTGCCATGGTAACTTCGGACACTGTCTCACAGTTTGTGCAGACACAATGAGGGGAAGAAAAAAAATAAACAAAAGTTCTGGAGTCAGGGAGTCGGCATGTGTCTCTGCTCTCACTGTGAGAGTGTGTGCAGTCACATGATACAAAAACTCAAACATGCCAGAAAATCATGCGACAGCTCGGGAGAAGCTGATCGATCTGTGATCAGCCGTCGTGCCTCAGTGTACGACGCACGAGCAAGGACAGGCAATCAAGCTGAAATCTGGCCTGACACTAAAATAAGCTGTATGACTCAAAATCTTACAGCGTACGCTTAAGCTTAACTCTGATGTTAAGGCATTTGATTGTTTTTTATCTGTTTTATTTGCTTTGTGCTTTCTTTTAATCTCGTAAATCACTCTGTAACATGATCTTAGAAAGGTGCTCTGTGATTGAAAAACAGATGATTTGATTTGATTTGACAAAAAGTCGAAACTCTGACGTATTCATTTTTTTGTCACCTTCTTAATTAATCTATGAATCGATGGATGTTTCACGAAACACGATCTCAAAATCCCATCTGAGGTGCGTTCAGGTGACCTCTTATAATGGGTCATATTTATCAAATCGTGGAAAACGAGTCATCCATCACAACTTGACTTGTGTTTAGCAATCTGGGCGCTGTAATAGACCCCGACAGCACGCTGTGATGTGTGTGCTGATGGATGGCCTTATATCCTCCTGTCTTTATAAATAGTTCCACCTGACACCTGCTAAGAAAACTGAGTATAACGAGGGAAGACACGACATGAGACTCTGTTAAAAAACAGATTTTCATGATAGACTGAGACACATGAACACCACACATTCTTCTGCGTTACATATTACCACCCCAACACACGGGTGAATGTGTTTTTATGTGCAGTGTGTTTAGGTATTCTGCCTCTCTTGTTCTATTGGCTGCTAAACCTACAGTAAGGCCTTTTAGCCAATCACAGTCCATCTGAGGTATAAATGGGTTTAAGAGGCGCTCTTTATGGACCTCTTTCCCACTTTTACTGCCTACTTACACTAAGAGTATGAGCTTTTTGTCAGGACTTTTATTTTTACACTAATTCTTTTGCCCTAAAAATACAACTTGCGCTGGTGGCGCAGTGGTTAGTGCACGCCCCATGTATGGAGGCTGTAGTCTTCCAAGCGGGCGGCCCATGTTCAAATCCCACCTGTGGCTCCATCCTGCATGTCATTCCCCACTCTCTCTCTCTCCCTGATTTCCAACTCTATCCACTGTCCTATCTCTCCATTAAAGGCACAAAAATTCATCTTTAAAAATGCACACTCTGGAGGATGCAGGCCTTAAGTTAGGATGCAACAACTGCTGAAATGCTGAACAATAGCATTGTCTTACTCTGTGCACCAAATGTAAACTCTTATCTGCATTATTGCCACTTTCAAACTTCTGTAAGAAACGAAGAAAGATGAATTATCTTACAGTTAACTCTTCTTTCTTCTGTATAATTCACTTTACCTTCAATAATACAAATCCAAAAAGCTGTAACCACTGCACACCAGTTATACTGTACACATACTGTATTAAAGCTGCACACCTGACAAGCTAATGTTTCATCTCCAACTTTGCAAACTCTATACTGCATTGCATAATTGCCATTTTTATTAGTATCTGCAGCCTGTGTGAGGGGGTTTAGGGACAGATGTGCTCTCCAGCTGTGATGTGTGTCTGGCTGATTTGGGGTGACTTTGTCTGAGAAAGTCTAACCCGCCCTTTAGGCTCTCAAAAGGCAACACACTGATTTTTTTCTTTTTTCTTCAAGGGGTAGTGGACTTGTTTTGGTTGCTTCAGGTAGAAGGTAGAACTAAATAAATTTAGTAATTTTATAAATTAATTATTATTTAATAAATAAAGTTTTAACAGAGCAGTTTTGATGCCAGGTGCAGAAAAGATGCTCTCCCTCTCTTTATTTGGTTCTTTTGATCAGATACTGAAACAATGCAACATCTTCTATTCCACTTCCTAACTACTGCGCTCACAGCCCGCTGCATGGTCAGTGTTCATTGAATGTTGTCCCGCTCTTCCTCTTCTGGCTGCTTTGCTCGTCTGTTTGCATGTTTTATTCCCTTTATTATCTTTGCAATGGGGAAGATTTAACGCTTTAAAGATGAAATAAATATTCAAGAGTTTGTCTTTCTTGTGAGTTTTTCAAATGAAGTGACAACACAGACTTCCTACTGCAGGGGAGACGATTGGCCGTGAAGCCTCTGCAGCATCAGTCTGAGATTCACTTCATGCAGTCGAGATTTAAAAACTGATAAAAAAATCTCGAGTTATATTTGTCTTCTTCTCTATTTATAAACGGGGATTAAAATTCAGGACATGCACAGAGCAGGAGAGGTGAGTACACATCCATGTCATGACTATAACTCGTGCAGGTTTTTCACTGTTCATTAAACCAGCGTATTTAAATCCTCCTGTTACCTAACAATATACCACACGCTCAGTATACACCAGAGGTTTCATGAGTGTAAAAGTACATATTGGATGACTGCTGTGTTTACAGGCAGAGTTTCACACACACACATTAAAAAACTGTGACAAAACATGAAAAAACAGTAAGTATTTTATCAGCAGAAACAGAAACCTGAAAGCAGTCGCACCTGTTTGGTTTGTTTGATAACGTGATGAATTTTCCATCCAAAGCATCACTCTGAAACTCTATCAGCTTTCACCGAGTCCCATAGGCACATCACGCTGTTTACCTTCAGGATGAATCAGTTAGATGTGAGTGAAATGATTAAGTGATCTTACTATATGATCAGACATTAAGGAAACATGCTATGTTGAAGTGCTGGCTTCTCTGACAACAATGCAGCAGCCAGTATGTCCTCCTTCTAACTTTAGATTCTGGTCCTGAATGCTCTGGATTTGTTTGGACCAGAGAAGGTAGGCGCTTTTAAGGCGACCCCCCACATGGCCGTTTTGGACGCCCCTCGGTTTTGCCAGATATGAGAGCAGTTATCAGGTCAAACCAACAGGTGTTGCAGTGATGGAAGCGGGCAAGAGAAGTGGTTCAGATAGAAGTGATTGTACCCGACCTAAAAAGCCTCTGCATGTTTCTAATAAGCTCCACGAGCAGAAACGTGCTCAAACTAGGATCAATATTGGAGATGCTTTTGAAAAATGGAGAGAGGTTAGAACACAGAAAGGTTTACAGACCCATGCAGAGCTGGATAAACACTGAAGCTTCAGTGTCCACCACATGGCAACCTGCGTGAGCATCAACTCTAGAGAGGAGGGGGCGGGGGGGAGACAGCTCTCTACAATGTTTAGAATTTGGACTGCAGTACCCATTTTAAACATTAGGGGTCATAGTTACATACTGCTCCTTTAAACAAATTGGCAGGATGTGTGTTCATGTGGGATCATAAAGAACTGAGATACAGTTCCTGCCTGAGTACCAACTACAGCTCTACAGTCAGAACAGTCCACCACCCCTGTGTTGAAACAATAAATGAAGACTTCATGGTCACAGCTTGTTGGAATTCATTCCTCCTCTTGGATGTGTATCTGCAGTTTAAAGGCAGGCATCTTCCCCCTCTTAAATTCCTATTTTTTTGTCATTTCTCTGCCCGACACGCTGAAGCTCAGGCAGCTTCGTGACCTGACCTTTCCTCAACACTGACTTTTCACTCACTCCAAGTCTGTCTTTGTTTTCTAGTTTACCCTCCTCCCTCCGCTGTTTTATCCTTCACCCATCGAGAGCTCTGACCTTCTGGGTTCTTTAACAGAGTAAGAGGCAGAGGGAGAGTACAATCATTCTGCCTAGGTATGAGGAGGTATGCTGCATGTTCAGCAAACATAAAGAAACAAAGCGACAGGCTTCTTGAGTTTAGGGTCTTCAATGCACAGCAGATATTCAGTTCAATATCAAATAGGAAACTTAGGAAACTGTGAACAACATACCGGGATCAGACTTGGAGAATGTATCCACGTCCAGCAGACTCCTGAGGAAACAACAAACAAACAAACACGTGAGGTCAAATGGATCCAAACGGCTGGAATGTAATGAAGCCTAATTTCTAATATTTAAACTAGAAAAGTTGTGCAGTATTAACAACTCACAAGATCCATTTATTTCCTGAGAAAAAATCTGTTATGGACCAAATTTAGTAAAGGATAAGATCACATTTAAACATTGTTAAACATTTATTTTTAAGGGGAATTACTCAGAGCCTAGACAGAGAAAAGTTTGTTGGTAAGTGAATTAGAGTAATAAATAAAAGGGAATTTTGTTTCTACAGAGCATCCCCCCTCTAGAGCCAGTTTCTAGTGTTGTAGTCAAGACCAAACTAAACGAGACCAAGGCGTACCTGAGACCAGAGTGCTCTGAGACCGAGACAAGACTAAGACATTTAGGGATCGAGACAGAGTCAAGACCAAGACCATAAATATCACTGAGCAATCATCAACTTGTGTGCATCAAGCGTGTCACTCACTGAGGTCATAAGACCAGGAAGGTTGCGGACATAACCGGGGGATAACATAAAACTATGAATGAAGTTATTTGTTCTTTTGGAAAGAGGCGTTTTTCTGGTGGTCTTCACAGGTCTTGATTTAAAATCCAGAGTCCTCTCAGACCGAGACCGAGACAAGACCGAGTAAAAATGTTTTTTATTCCGAGATGAGATCGAGACCTTTAAAAAGACCGATTTCAAGTACTAACTCTACCAGTTTCACACATGAACTTCCTTACATTTCCAAACTATCAGGTCCTGACAGCAGGCAAGAGGACGAAGAGGAGCGTTCTGTAATGGTGACTGTTAATGGATTAATATTGTTACATGTTTAAGGGCGTTTCTGCAACACAAACACAACAGAAGGAAAATAATAAAGAGTATAAATCAGCTCGAGTTTGATCAGCATGGACAGTCAGAGTGAACAGATTCAGCCGTGAAGTGTCAGGACTTTTCAGGAATGCAGTTTATGTGTGAAAGAGGCTAACGTTTGTATTCCCATGATGCATCATCAGTGACGAAAACAGCACTGCTTCTGGATGCTACAACAAATCTTGTGACATAATCAAATTAGAAAGGCAACAAGCTCAACTTAATTTGCAGATGTTTGAAATGACTGATGATTCTGTAGTTTGTTTACAGCCGGAGCTACAAATCAATAATTTCCACAACAGCAACAATCTTCTAGGTCCAAATCAGGCTACGTAATGTTAGCATAGCATAAGTCAGTATAGCGCCATACATTTTATTATTACACAAACACTGCATTAAAAAAGCGAGAATAACCGAGGACTATTTTCTTAAATAAAATGCTTTTATTGACTGTTTAACCTGTTTTCTCCTGTGTTTGCGATCCACTGCCAAAACCAGGAAGTGCCAAACGGAACCAAGGCATGCCATTGGCTTAAACAGAGGTGAGTGGAATGAGTCAAGTATGGCAGGTGTGAAGGGGTGTTTGAAGACGCTACATGCTACATACTATTTGAATGACATTTCTCACCTTTAAATGTGTTGAATATGTCTTTATTTGTAAGGGGTGGTGGCCTGGTTCCCTGATTGGGGTGTGTTGGGGGGAAATATTACCCCTACCCCACCCCCCCTGTTTTTTGTTTGTTGTAAATTAAGGGAGGAATCGGTCACATAAAAGGTGATGTCACGTTAGGAGGGTGGGCCTTGACCCCAAATGGATGTTAGGGGAAACACTGGTCAGGTTGGGTAATTGATAACACGCATGTCTCGTCGTTGTGATGTGGTACGACCCAGCTGATATATCAGAGGAGGTCGGATGTCCTTGGAGGCAGTCGAGATTGTTGTGAGAGCTGCAAAGGTCAGAGTGGCATCGCCTTGAGTCGAGCACCGTCTGGCTTTTCCAATCGCCTTTTTTTTTGTCGCTGCAACTTTTATGTTTCTCTTCAGCAGGTCTGTATGATAAGATCCTGCTGTACAGGATAGTTAGCCTCACTGTAAATTAAAATCCACCTCGACTGCCACCTTGGAGTGTTTCCTTGTTTCTGTTCCTTAACCTCTATAAGTCATCCTCTGGGACCTTAATTCTATCTCCCCCTAATAATGACATAAATTAAGTCCTGCACATTATCCCCCAGTAAATGCATCAGTTAATTAGTCCCTGCACCTTGTTTCTATGGACACACCCCCAAGCTTAGTGTTTTCCTCTTTTGTGAGTATTTATTGAGCTATGACAACCGTGCAAAGCTTCACTAAATTAAGGTAAATGATGGAAAAACAGCATTTAAACAATAAATATCATGAAAAAAACAAGGCTAAAAATGTCTCAAAATTAAATTGTAGCATTTACAGGGGAGATAAAAACTCAAAGCCTCCGCCCCATCTCTCTCTCTCCCCCTCTCTCTCCCCCAGGTGTGGGCTGTCTAACTCAGGTGTCTGGCCACTTCAAGTCTGCCTCATCTCAGGAGGTAACCACACAGCAGCACCGGACATTCATTATTCAGGAGTGGATTGCTGAGACAGTCAGCCTCCAGGCAGGCTGACAGTCTTCGAGAAACCCCCACCCCCACCCCTCACTGAGTCTCACTGCTCCGTCAGTTAGTCAGTCAGCCGGCCAGTCGGTGAGAAGGAGGGCAGCAAACCGTTCAGCTAGAAGGCAGCCTGCCACCACAGAGGCAACGCAGGTGCATGTAGATGCTGGTTTATTAAATCAATATTAATCATGTGTTTTTGATGATTAGTATTATTCCTGTATTTGCACACAGTGTTTTTTAAATTGTGTCGTTATGAAGCTGCATGATGCACAGACTTGATTTTTTTAGCAGAAGAAGATTTACTTTATTAATGCCGAGAAGGTGAAATTCAGTTTTACACACACACAGGCTGAAACACACACACACATGCACAAACAGGATCCTATAGACTAATGGAGAGATGTCAGAGTGAGGGGGCCGCCCACAGCGAGCGCTCCATTGCTAGTGGAGAGAGGGGGATTCAGTGCCTTGCTCAAGGGCACCTTGGCACTGTGCTCAGGAAGTGAACTTGCACGTCTCCAGCTACCAGACCAATTTCTGGTTTTTGGTCCGCACCGGGACTTGAACCGGTGACCCTCCGGTTCCCAACCCAAGTCCCTACAGACTGAGCGACAGCTGTCCACTGTCTTAAAATCAAATATCAATAGCAATGTCATGGGTCATTGACTGGATTTCATCAGACAGTATCAAGAGAGTCTCAAGGATTTTTAATTAGTCAGACTCTAATTGGCAAATGGGATGAAGTATTTACCATAAAGCAAAAGGCAGATAGATAGATAGATAGATAGATAGATAGATAGATATTAAAACAATTTCCCTGTGATATCAGCAGATTCTACACTATGCATGTGAGATAACAGACTTTTTTAAATCTGCTTTAATCCGGATTCTTTCCACAGGTAGGCTGTGCTTCACGCAGGCTGTGAGAGTTCGTTCTTACCGGCAGGACACGGTAACTTCTATTTTAGTTGCAGGGACTCTGGTGTTGAGAGGGTCGAATTCCCCTATTGATGCCATCATCTCGACCCGCGTCCTTAACGAGCATCCGCTTGAGATAGAGAAAAAAAAAAGACACCCGACGGAGAAGATGTGATCATTTAATAGATAGAGTGAGCGCGCAGTAAATCCATAGTGGAGATCTTCTTGTGTCGGGTTTGTGGAGCGGAGAGCAGCGGAGGAGGGAGACGGTAGAGGATGGAGAGCAAGGGAGGGAGAGAGAGAGAGAGAGAGAGGGAGAGAGAGAGAGAGAGACGGTGAAAGTTGTGAGGCAGATTTTAAAGTTCATGGATCCTTCACGCGTTCGTTCTCGGTGCGCTCCATGAGTCTGTCCGGAGCTGAGGAGGAGGATGAGGAGGAGGAGGAAGAGGAAGAGGGGGGTGCAGCCAACCGGAGGCTCCGAAAAACAACACGGTGCCCCCCCCCCCCCCCCCGCTCTCTCCCACACCCACCTCTGTGATTGTGTTGTCATTCTTGTCTTCCCCTTAAGTCACCTGTTACTCGTGCCTTTAGAGTTCAATTGAAAAAGATGGAAATGACCTTTCACCTCGGTTGACATTTTTCCCTACTGCAAGAATGTTTTTGGTACCCTGAAGTCCTAAAAAAGAATATCTTGTGTGCACACGATAATTATATTATGTGCAGAAGATAACTACTTGTGCACACAGAAAGCATCACTTTTTTTTACTTTCAGGGTCTCAGTGTTTTGAATGTGAATAAATTGTAAGGTATAAATTCATGTTTTCATGTCTTTAGATGAACAACAGGCCTTTTCCTCCATCGAGAAGTTGATATATTTGTTACTGTGTGCATTTGTCTGCCTTGTGCTCTATGAATGTTGAGAGATAATAAAAATGTATGTAAGAACAACAGAGGCCACATCAACAACCAAACAGCTAACTAACTAAATACAAGATATACCTAAAAATGCTTCACCTCAACCAGATGCATGAGTCTACATCAGCTGTTTACAACCTTTTCCCTTGGAGGCCCCCCCTACTTTGAAAACGGGAGCGTGCCTATGTTCCCACATTTCCTTTTTCATAAATTTGTATCAGTTAGGGTTACCGATACAAATTTATGAAAAAGGAAATGTGGGACCATAGGGCCTAATTTTGAGAAAATTCTTAGGACCATAGGGCTGACCCCTTGAAAACTGTCTAAACTGAACATAAATGTGAAAAGCTGAATTCAACTCTGTGAAGAAAAAAGAAACTTAACAGAGTAAAAATATCTCGATTTAAAGCTGTCTGTTCCTCAATGCGTCAATTAATCGCACAGTATATGTAAAATCCGCCGCCAGGGGGCTCTCAATCAAAACAATAACAAAAGATGATGTAGTGGCTTGTGGGGAATCATGGGAGTGATTCTGTGAAAACTAGCTCCGTGTTGACCGTAGTCAATACGAACGGGTGAAACTGAATATTTGATGTTAAAAACTGATCAGACTGACTGCTGGAGTTCCCATTAGGAGCTATAGAGACGTTTTAAGTGTCGACGTCGGGGTTTAAGTCAGAAATTAACTTTCTTAGGTTGGCCTCTGGATCTCTGCACACAATGCTTTGTGCTCCGTCTATAACGGGAACCTTGATGGTATCCGAGTAAACATCGGGCAGTAAATAAAAAGAGGCACGTGGAGGACCAGGATCCTAACTGTTGTTTTATTTACTGCCTGGCTCTCCCACAGTTTAATCTGACCCCGACAGTGAAGCATCAGCTCCATTGTCTTAAATAAAAGTTATGAAATGAGAAAAAAAACCTTCTTGCACAGAAAAAAACACCCGAGAGTGATTCACCTGTGCAGACTCTGAGCAGGAAACACCCTCCCGTCTATATTTAGTCCTCCCTCCTCTTCCCTCCTGACTTCTAACACTCGACCGTTCACCTGATAATAACAGAGAGGTTCGTGACATCATATTCCTGCACATATCCACTGGAGCAGGTAATCAAACAGTCGGTTTTTTCAACACCTATGCTCAATTAGCCGCACAGGAGGAAACAAGCTGTCGTCTTCCAACGAGACGTCTGCGATGCTAAATCTGTGACAGGCTACTCTGTAATTTCCCATTAATCAGCTCTCCTGAAAAGCTACATGACACACTCCTCAAAGCCTCCCACCGCGGCCTCATCACCTGAGGGACATCAAACTCTGGCAGAAAATAGCTCGCTCTTGACATACTGTATTTTGGGATGAAAAAAGCTACAAACAGCCTTCAGAATCAGACACGGGGAGCATGTGAAAATATGTAGAAGACAAAGGAGAGGTTGGGAGGTTATACTTCGAGGAGAAGGCTGACAGGGATGCTGCAGCAGAAGCTCCTGTAAAACATTCAGGTTAAATCATTTTGTGTCACAAATAGATTCATTTAAGGACAGAGGAAATAAGAGAGCGAGCGTCACAAAAATTCACACTCCCAGCCATGTGTGTGTGTATGTGTTTGTGAGTGTGTGGCTGTGTGTGTTTGTGTGTGTGTTTGCGAGCAGATTCACTCAATTTTGCAGCTGATCATGCAGAAACTGACATTTTTTTTCATGGACTGAAGAAAACAGCGAGGGGAGAGTGGGCCACAAATGGACGGAGGATAAATGGCGGATGTTCTGAAGATGAAAAAAGGAAATGAGAGACCAAAAAAATAAGGATGAAATGAAAGTAGAAGGAAGGAGAGAGAGGATGGAAGAGAGTGTAAACTGTTTTCACTCTCCTGTCTGCGGGTGATCTATAAATAAAGCAAACGGACGATAAAGTGGACGGAGGTGTGTGTGTGTGTGTGTGTGTGTGTGTGTGTGTTTCTGTGTTAATTTGTGTGTGTGTGTGTTTCTGTGTTAATTTGTGTGTGTGTGTGGAGTGGCAGCTAATTACTCAAGGAGAAGTCCTGTTTGGTTTCCATTTCACTGCAGAGCCAAGCAGGAGGCTGACAAACACTTGAAGCCTCCAGCAATTATTTAAACTAAGAAAAGAAAAAAACTAATTTGCTGTTTTTCTGCAGGTATTTTTTAGCCCGTTTGCCTTTTTTTCCCCATTTCTTCAAACATCTAAGACTCACTCTGAGTTCAGAGATGGATACTGATGCAGAGTTTAAACAACATCTGGGTTCTCTTTATTAGTCCAGCATAAGCAAAGACTGTCCTTCAGTAAGAGAAACAGCTTTGTTGTTGCATAAAGTTCACTGAGTAATCATCAAACTGAGACTTCAGGAGAGCTCAGAGACTTCCATCCTCAGTGTTTCAATAAAATAAGTGTCACTATCTCGTTCAACCCTTTAACACTAGGCAGGTTGAGTCAGTGTGTAGGGACCTCAGATTGAAATTAAGCAATTTCTCAGTTTTGCAATCGTTGCTTTGACTCGGGGCTGCACGGTGTCAGTGCAGCGGTTAGTGCTGCTGCCTCAGAGCAGGAAGGATCCTGGCTCAGATCCCTGTTGGACAGGGTCCTCCTGTATGTTCTGCCTGGGTTCCCACAGTCCAAAGACATGCTCACAAGGTTAACTGGTGACTCTAAATTACCCGAGTGTGACTGGTTGTTTGCCTGTGTATGTATGATTGACTTGTGGCCCCCCGCCTCTCGTCCAATCACAGCTGGGATCGACTCCAAAGCCCTGTGACCCCCAACAGGATAAGCGATATAGATAATGGATGGATGGTTTGATCTGGTGGCTTCTGATACATGTTAGTGATGAGTGATTTGATATTTGTGTCATGCATAAACAATATGGACGGCCCCAAACATTTTAAAAGACACAATCACAGAGAGAGACAAAAGTCAGTGAAGAGTTTGAGAGACAACAGGAACGCTTCCGGTATCCCCCTAACCAAACCACCGGTGCTCATGGGAGGGAAGACTTCAGAAAAGTGGAGGAAACTTAAGACCTTAAGACGCGTTGGGGTATTTTAATGCTTCTTGGCCTTTTGTATTTTTCTAAACATCCTGAGTTCATGCACCTGGATTATTTATACCTTTGTTTTTTGGTCTTCAGTTTTCTTCCACTTTTGACTTTTCTGAAAAAAATAATAACTTTTTTTGTGGAGAATAAATGAGTAAAGAATGTATTCTACATATTTACTGAAAACTATAAATACTGCTAACAAAATAAAACTGCAGTGTGAGGCACGAAAATAAATCAGAGGAGCAGTTCATCTCGAAGCAAATCGTGTTATTTGTATTTTCAATATATGAAGAATAAAGTTAAAAATGAGAATAACTTTGAGTCCAGTTAAGATTCCATTTTGAGAATAAAGTTTGAGTTTTAAAAATGCAAAATGATAGAAAAAAACATCTCTCTTTATTATTATTTTTAATTAAATAACCCTTTTCAGCTTATTCCTAGACACTGTGAAATTATTCCTGAAAAGGAAAAAAAAAGATAATAATCAACCCTTTCTCTCATTTTATTGACGACATTTTCAAAATGCCAAAAGATTTTTTTTTTTTATTCTCTTGTTCTTTAATTAATACTTGTTCAGTTTTATTACCTCCAAAGAACCAGGAGCCACTCTGTGATGTTTTTTTTAAACTGTCAGTTCCTCGTCTCCGCTCTGAGCTCGGGGAAAAGAGCGTTTAGTTTTGCTGCTCCCTCTGCAGAGAACTTTCTCCACAATGACCTGAAACTGGCAGATCTCATTTCACTTCAAGCCTCTCAGTCGATCTCAAAATACAAAAAGACGTGAGACCATTGGACAGAGCCTGGTGTGTTTCTGAATTATCTGTCTGTGATCACGACTCTGCACTTTATCTGTGAACCCATTAGCACATTTTAACTGTTGTTTTCTCTTCACTTATTGTTTGGAAATTGTTTCTTAGTCATGACATATTTCTAATGACATGTGCTCAGAGGCAACTGCTTTGGGCCCCAAATGAAGGGGCCCCGAGGGCTGACAAACAGTAAACCGCAGCAGTAGCTCAGTATGAAACCTCCCAAAAGAGGTGCTCGTCTAGCCCTCAGTATGGATGAGAGACACTAATGCATAAGTTCTGCAAAATGTTTTGTTGTTGTCAGATTTTTTATGACATAATGGGGATGGACGCTGTTTGGAGGGGCCCCATGGGAGTTTTCTTGCCTTGGGCCCCAACAGACTCCAAAAGCGCTACTCTCTTGGCCAGGTCACCCTCATGAAAGAGATCCTGATCTCAATGGGTTAATGACCTGCTTAAATAAAGGTTAAATAAAAAAATATTCTTCTTTAGCTAGTAAAAATGAAAAAATCTGCACCGTGCATGTCTTCAAACGTTTCTGCAGATTTCCCCTCGTCTTGCATGATGAGGCCATTTCTTTAGCTTCTTT